GGGGTTTAATGAGCTGGGCTGTATTGCGGCGTAATTAGCGATTTCGTATGTACGTGTGCGTTTAAAGCAGACCGAACGCTTTTCGATGGGGAGGGGGGAGGGAATCCGCCCGTAGGAAAGCGTCCTGATGGTTTATGAACTGAAAAAGCCCTAGGGTTAAAGAGCGCCGGCGACGACCGTAGTTCTCTGTAGTACAGTTTACAACTGTTAATGTGTTAAAGCATAATTAAGAGCGGCGGAATAGACAAGCCCCTGGTTGTGGCTGGGGGGCGGTCTGAGAGCAGGAAGGGAAGCCTGTGCCTGTGCGAAGTCTGGGAGGGGGAAGTTCGCTTCCTGCCCAACTGCTCTTTCAGGCACACGGCAGCGTTTCGGCGTGACCCGATGCCCTTCCAGCTGATAGTGTTTCAAGCCCTGAAGCACTCCGGAGAGGGGAAGAGAGAACAGCCACAAGAGCTATCAGATCTTTTTCGTACTCTTAAGTACGTTTAAGCATTTGCCTGCTCTGAGCTAAGCAGCTTCATGAGAACCTGAACTGGCTGTTCATGAAGTAGGTACGTAATGGATTGTGTGCATTGTTCCTTAGACTGGGCACGGTTGCAGACTCTGGTAGTATAATCATGCTGGAAGTGTGAAGTGCAGTTTGTATAATGAACACCAATGATGACTAAATGTCCTATGACTCAGAAATAGTCTTTCAGAGAGTAAGTTTGATGTCAAACTAATTGTGCACACCTTGAGGCACGTCTGCTTAGGTGGTAACATCAATGAAATGCAGTTATAACAGACATCAAAAAGTGTTGTCTGTTGTACTGACTTACGTGAGGCATTGTGATACACTGCTTTTGTTGTCTACTTCTCTTCCCCTCCCTTCTTTCTTGAAGTGTGGGATGATGCTAGTCTACCTGCTCATATTTTCCTTTAAGTTGGAAGTGCCTGATCAAAAAAGTTCATGCACCCACAAAAAAGAAGTAAACAATTGCCTGGCTTGTAAAATTCACTTAAGCACTGGATGGTTCTGAGAGCAAAGTGGAAGGGTTTCCTGATGCTCTGCCTTTTAGGTCCATTTGCAGAAAATGATCGTATGTCTTGCAAAGGAGAGTATCCATGCACAGAATGTAAAATATGAGGCTTATTCACTGAGAATAGCTTATTCTTACCCAAAGAAGAAGCCTTATCTAAAATGTTATTTTCTGTCTGAGCTGCAAAGAGAAGTATTTGATTTTTTTTTTTTTATTTGCTGCTGTCAAGCAAAACTAGCTTTTTACTGTGGGCTTGCAGGTAAGGAAAGAAAAGCTCCCTAAAGTGAATAGAGACAAGTTTGAGTTTAGAATTAGCAGCAATGTTTTTAGGGAAAATAAGAAACAAAGATTGAGCTCAGTTTCCTTGATCAGCAGTACTTTAATTTGCTCCCTCAGTCCTGTGTTTCTGCTTGCTTTGGCTCAAGCAGTCATCTGGTTGACATTCATTTATTTTTGGTTAGACTTAGTATTTGTTTGGAACAAATACCTGCATGGCCATATGTGTGCCAGAGGCAATATATAGGAAGTTGTAAGGGGAAAGAGGGTCTGCTGTTCATCTTGATGTCATCATCTTGGATCAGTCTAGATTCTTGGCACTGAACTCTGTGTGTCTCAAGCTTACAGTTCGTAGAGTCAATGTCTAACTTCTAAAGGGGTGAAAAATGTGATTCAGGCTGTCATAAACAGTGTGAGTGGGTCTGGTCCCACCTTGCGGTGAAACCATTTCTTTTTATGTTGAATATTTGATACCGCAACACAGGAGATACTTGGTCACTTGTTGCACCTAGGAAAGCTCAGTGAAGATACAGATGTGATCCAGCTAAGGAGTAGGCACAAATCTGGAAAAGTTTACTTGTACATTCCTCCCCCACGCTATTAATTGAAGTGTCTACAGTGTGTTGGCTGTGAACAGCTTCTATGGAACCATTTCTCCTACACACAGTCACTTCCTCAGCAATATCACAGATGGGTGTGAGAGTTACTGCAGTGACTCCATTCTCTGCAGGAGTTGATCAGGGAGTAAGCAGTCTTGGTGGCAGGCTGAACTTGGCTGAGTTATCTTGCTGTTACTGCTTTTCAAATACCATTTTGTGAAAGATGTTTGGTGGTAGTTTTGTTTCTGTTTGGTTTTTTTTAAAGACAGGCAAACTGTGTTATTAGAAGGCCTCTGTTACATGCTGGAAGTTCAGATTTAATCATGAGTTACTATTAAAAGAAGGTACTTAACCTGTTTATTTTCTATTTCTAGCCAAGGTACGAGTGTCTAGAATGTCCAGGCATGCACAAAAGCTTAAAGATCATGATACAAATCCATGTGTAGCGGTAAGATGCTCAAATTGAGATTCCTGTTTGTCCATTTCAATGTTAAATAATACAATTTCTAGAGGACTTTTTTCATGGATAGCACTCTTATGTTATAGCATTTTGCGTAAAAAGTTTGAGTCTGAAGATGGGAAGAGCTGAAAATCATCCATTATAGTAAGCATGAAATGACAAGTAATTCCCCATAAGTAGAAGTAATAAAACTGATGGCAATCTCTTCAGTTTTCTGTCCTTAAAACCAGAGCCTGAAATCCTGGTTAGACAAGCTTGGCTGATTTTTAAGTCTTTCGTCTGTTACACCAAGCATCGTTGTAAGCAACTATTCTGTTGACTCTATCCTTACTGTGTAAAGAGTACTAATGTCTGTTATCTCTAAATGAAGTCACTGCTTGGAAGTACTGATTATCCTTTGTGATAGATGTTCCTTTCCTCTCTTTGATAGTATTCTTTCATTTGAGAGGCTGCCTCCTATCTTCACAGATATTCTGGACTTGTTAAAATATTTAGACACTGAGTACAGTAACTTCCCTCAGCTCTGAAGTATATTTTCCCCTATTAAAGGAAACAGATGCCACTACAAAATGTATGAATGACAACAACTATAACAAGGATATGTGTACTGCTTATTTTTTGAAGTACAAAGACTGCAGAAAATTTTGGGTAAGCACGGTAGATTTTCTAAATTTTACTGCCTGCTTTTCTTGAAGTACATCTGGCACGCTGCTGCCTGAGCCCTTCAGACTTAGCTAATGCTGACTGCTGCTGTTCTTATGGTAACTTACTGGCCCAGGTAATCTTGGTATGTGTTGCTGGAAGACTTAAACAGATGCACACCAAGGTACTTCACTCAGTTCTGTTAAGTTTACCCTCTTAGACCAAGTCAGTGTTCTTGCTGTACCTGATGTTTCCCACTGAATTTGAGATTTTGATATTTCTAGGAGTAAGTTCTGTTTTAAACAGATGCAATTAAAAAGTTTTCAGGTAAGTGCATCTGTTTTTTACTGGTTTTGAATCATGCTCACTTTATCATAAGATAAAGCTTAGGAAGAGTTCAGTCTTATTTGGTGGTGTCTTTATTTCCTTCTCTCTTGTGGTAGAGAAGGAAATAAATGAGAAACTTTGTGCAGTTACACTGTTTTCTGCTGTTTTCTTTCCTTATGCCATAGTAGTAAAGAGTTTTTAGCTTAGCCTTTAAATACCTGTGCAAACTCTGAAAAAACTATTTGCAGCTAACTGTGCATTAGTCTGACATAGTGTACTGGCAATACTGATTTTGCTGTCTTCTGCAGTAGTAACATAAACTATCAGATATCTTCGAACAGCTACTAGTACGTTTATTGATCAGCTAGTCAGAATTCAAGTATCTGGTTCTTGATATATAAAGAGTAGTTCTATTAAAGAATCTTGTTCGTTCAGAGGTTCTGAGAAATGTGGGCTCATGATCACTTTATTCTGTTTCAGCATGGCATTATGATGCAGAGGAGAAGAAATGGTGTGAAACCAGAGATGCCCTCAGCAGAAGAGAGGAAGAAAATCTTGGAATCAATGGGGCAGCCCTACTGACTAGAAACTTGAATTAATTGACTCTTTTCTCTGTACATATGAAGACTTATCAGCAGCAAGTTGCCATTTTATGAACTGGACTTTACCGTTGCCATATCTGGGATTAAAATAAGATCTTAACATTTTAAAATGTGTGAGCTTTCTAGGATGGAACTTCCTGGTTTTATTTGTACTCCCTCTACAGGAACTTGGCCTCTCACTGGAAGACATTGGTATCAACTTAGGTCCAGATACTTTTGGAAATTTGAAACTAACTTGCTGTGAAATGCTAAATATAAAATTAATGGAACTTGCAGAAAGTCTGTTTGAAAAGAGGGACCTGGTTATTGTTGCCATGTGGTTCTAGGACTGGAGCAGGTTGACAAGGTGGTATGTGCCACATGCTCTTTGCACCCAGCTATTCTGCCCAATAGTATGGATTTACCATGTGTGGTCTTAACGCTATTTCCACATGAGTTGCATTCTGTGTTCCCAGTTTAAGTAAGACTGTTCATGAACTAAAACCCTAAATCCAACAAGCTCGTCATTAGGTCTGGCACTGTGCTCGTCAGTGACAGCAGAAGTTGCAATAAATCAGATCTGCAGGCTTTGCTTTTACAGGGTTAAAGAGGTTGATGAAGATAGGACCAAACTCCTCAGGTCTGAACTGAATCATATCTTCTGTGGATAGTAAATAGATACTTTGCTGTCGGGCAGGCAGGGGCAGACTTGTAGACATGTAAACATATACTCTGAGTGACATGGCAGGTTTAACTATAGTACATCTATCTATGACTCTCTGGACAGCTGAAGCCCTGGGTTTGGAAATGCTTACTCATACAAGACTACAAAGCTCAGCTTGAACAGGTACTCTAATCTTAAGCAAGATTGATTCCTTAACTGAACTGAACAACTAATAAGTGTAAACAGGTTGCTGTCTAGTGGAAACAGTATTTTCTTACCTTTTACCCTCTGGTGTCTTGGCTTAAAAGCTTGCACACTGTGGTAAAACTGAAAAATCTACTGTCATGAGCTCAAGTTCCATGTGAAATCCTTTAGTACTTACTGGGATCAAGTTGGCAGAACTCTGGCTGACCTCACAGACGATGGTGTAAAAGTGTTGTCCCTCTATTTAGACTGTTTTGGAAAGACTTCATGGCTTCCTGTTTCTCCTGTCTGGCTTGTCTTGTTTCTTTCCACTGGAGGCCTATTTCTGTGCTTGCTGGGATTTTTATGCTGTTTCCACCTTCCCCCTTGTTATTTGACCTGACTAGTAACTACCGGAAATCTGCTTTTGCTCCTCCTTTCTGTTATCTGTCTACATCTGAGTTTTGAAATGGATTGATCCTAGCCTTTCTGTTACTGGAATGAGTGTGTAACTCTATGCCTTTGAGTATGCAGTTCTCTGAGCATAGCTGTTCAGCCTCCAAGCCATGTCACAAGTTCTGTTGTCAGTTCCTGGCAGGGAAAATGGACTTTCTTCAATCAAGATCGTCAGATTGTGTTTTAAATTTACTTTCTCTGCACTTAAAATGCAAACTTTGTTTTCCATTTTTGTGTGTGTGGAACAGAAGAAATATTTTCATTCTAGATTCGAGGGCTCGCTCTTGTCCACCACCGTCTTGCCATCTTCTTTCCAGACCCTCCTACATACCAGTCTTCCCTTTTTATTAGCCTGTGTGGCACCAATTCTTTTTTATACTGATTTGAATATTTTGGTCTGTTCTCATTCCAGCTTTTTTCTAGTGCCTTTGTTCTGTCTCCGATCTGATGATGTAGTCTTGCAATGTCTTTCTAATACAGCTCCTTTTGAAGGTCTGGTGTTCTCTGTTCTCCCCTGTCTTAATGAGAGAACTCCTTGCTTTCATTAGTCAAACTTGGCCATAGACTTCCTCATTGGCCATGATGCCCTTTGATCTTGTTCATCTGCAGGTTTTGGGGAGCTATTGTCCTCTTTTCCTTAGGGCTGTCTCTCCAGACTTGTCTGCTTTTGCTGCCTTGCTTGTCTAAGGGCACCTCCTCTCATACTTGGCACAGGTTTGTCATTTGGCACCTCTGCTGTATCTTTGGGCATGTTGTTTGCTCCTATGGCTTTAGCTACTATTCTAGTGCTTGCTGTTTCTCTGTTGCTGTGCTCTTACATTCTGGGCTTACATTAAAATCTACTGTATGTTTTAATTATTTGCAAGAAAACCAGCATCTTTTCTTGATGTGGTCATGCTGATTCTTCTCTGCATAAACTCAAGTTCCTCAAAGTCATCTCATTTGTTTAGGTTTTCTTTGAGTGTAAAAGCAGTCTTTCTCCTAGGTTAACAGTTGCATTTGCAATATTTTTTCCTGCCAATATTTACTTGGAAAGTTTCCACTAGTATTGTTTTCTTTTAAAGGATGACTGACTTATCTTTAGACTTTACAAAGCAGTACAGGCTACCTATTAAAGTGGTTGTAAAGAACTAGTACTGGACTTCAGAAAGTCAGAAAAGGAGATTCACTCTCTGCTTTCAAGTATCAATGCAAGAATGTGGGATCAGAGGATAGGCTAAGGCACGTGTAATGCAAGAACAGTAGTCTAATATTAGACTTCCTGATCATCAGTGGACGCACATGGTAAGCTCCCTGTGGGTGTTACAACAAAAACGAGTTTATTGTAGAACTGAGGGCAATTTAAACAGTGACCTTGTAAATTTAATTCAAGGAATCAGTCATCTCTTGGAGGGAATACCATTTATTTCCATTGCATATGCCTTATAGTTACTGTTAAGTAACACAAGTTTACAAAAAATCTGGGAGAGCAAGAAGTTTTCTTCCTTGTGTCATAATGTCTCTCAAGAGCGATCTGTTAGATGAGTATGAGTTTTCATCGCTTTTTTCCCCTCACTGGAGGTTGCTGTTCTTGCTTTCACTAGTGAAGCTCAAGAGTGGTAAATTATGATAGTGAAAACATAGGCTCTTATGTATGAAACGGTTGAGGTTTTTTCCATTAATTTTTGTAGTGTGATTAACTATCTTTGGTTGTGAGCCAAAGATAATGATCTTTTCCTCATACCTGAGAGCTTATATTCCATGCTCCACCGAAACACTGAGGTAAGCTGTATCCTGACAGTCTAACTGGGCAGAAATAAACTGGCCTGAATTCTTAGTTTTGCTAAAGCACACTCTTGTGTACTAACCCAGAAGACCATAACATGGTGGATCAATATAATTAATTCAGAAGCAGGGAAGGGACCTGTGGGTTGGTGTGGTGTTTTTGCTTTTTTAATAGGTGTAATTACTCATTTTGCTTGTGGAGCAAAATCTGGGTAGTGGTATTAATGTCGGACAATTTTTTTGTTTGACAGCTGGATGGTGCTGTTGCACAGCAGACTGAAAACAGAAGCACTCCACCCACTGTTGGCTCTTCTGTGCTTTTTTTGTCCTCTTCCCACAGAGATAGCAGAATTCATGCAGGAGAAAGGAAAGATTAATGCTGCCTGTATAGTACAAACAGGAGGACAAGAGTCTGAATCACTGCTGGGAAATAGGAGGTTTCTATGCAGCCTGAGAAGCTTCTGAATATGGTCCTTGAAAGAATATTTTTCAGTGGTCATTTGATCACAACTGGGCACTGAGCAGCAGATACAGGCTCTCTCCTAGACCTAGATTCTCATCTGTCCATTTTTGCCATCTCATTTTTCCCATTACCTTATGGTGCAAGGCCTTTGTCTGGTTTGAGTTTGCTGCTGCTACAACTGGAATGAGTCTGTGCTCCTGAAGATGTTACAAGTCACGTAGCTCTAGACTCCTGAAAATTTCTTTGGGTTTAATAGCTGGAGCTTTTGAAAGACAGGTAGTTGCATCTCCTGCAGGTCTGAGTCTTTCATGGACTTTTCCTAATAAAACTTTGATACTTGTGCAATCAAGGGTGTGTGTATAGATGAGCTTTTGCTAAAACTTGTGCAGAACAGATAGGATGAATTTACAGTATTAAATGTTATTCTGCCCTTAACTCATGTTTAAAAGTATCTGCATATTTAAAGTTTCTTTTCCAAAATAGCTGTGAAAAAAGTAATCGTAGTGTGAGAAAAAGTTTGCAAAAATAGTACACTACTGCAGACTTCATTCTCTTGCAAGAATCTGAGGCAACTGAAGGAAATAATTCCGTAAGTATTAAAGTTGTAAGAAGTAAAACGAGCAGACTACTTCACATTCTTAAAGTTTTTTATTGCAGCCTATTTGATATGGGAAAAAAAGAGGGAAGTGGTACATTTATACTGACTAAATGCAGTGGGTCATTAAAATAAAACCTCAGTGTTTTATTGCACTATCATACGTAGTAAGTCATTTTTCTTCATCCTTTAGTTTCTACCTTGATGGCTTCTATCTCAAAATCCTTTTTTGAGGATTTTTCAGCATTTTTCTTCCCATCATTACTGACTCTTAAAAGTCTCACTACCCTTGGGTTACCTTTTTGCCTGTTATACTTCAGTAAACAGCTATGCACTGCAAACACTTCCTGATACCAAGTGACTTTGGTAGAACACAACAAAATTTGTCATACAACAAAATTGGACTAGTCTCAAAATGGAAAACAATTGTAAGATAAGGTAATGCAGAGTGACAAAAAAAGCTTATGCTCAAGACAGAAAAGAGGTACTGACTGAATATACTAAAGGCATTTCACAGCTATAAGATGAAGTTACATTAAGAGCAGAAGTAGGGGCCATCAGCTCGTGCTTGTGAACACTTGTAAGCCATTGAATAATCTCAGCATTTTTAATTGATGATAAAAGATTGCAATAATTTTGTCAAAAAGGATTTTCCAGTATTTTCACAGAAATAGCCTGCTGGTAGTATTTTGGGTTTATGTCACCTGTGAATATCAAATATTTTTCTTGCCCTGAAACATGTGCCCCCCCCCGCAGTCCTTGGCTGTAGAGTTGCATGCAGCTGTTGAATGTGGTTGCATATGACAAGGAGGGTGACAGGAGTTTTGTGACATTTTTTCCTGATTTTTGTTAAATAGTGGAATTTAATGAAGTTGC